AAAATGACAGTCACACCAAATAAAGAAATACTAAAGTCACAAATACAAATGTCTCCAATTCACATTAATATTACGAATCTGAGTATTTTTGAACCTACTTAAGAGGATAAAATGATTTTAAATAATAAAAAAATAAAATTGAAGTTCATAAACGGAAAACCCATGTACTTTGTACGGAGTAACATTTATGTTTGTAACTCTAACATCTCTTTTTACTTAAGGATGAATGCAAAAGTAAAAGATACTCCGTGAATTTTTTCTTACAATTCAAATTCTACTTCCTCTGTTTCAATTTAACTTCAACTATTGTCACCCAAATTGTTTTGTTTCCAATTCTAATATCTTTCTTTTCATTTTTGACTTAACGTAATTTTAATGTAAAATTAAAAAATACTTGATTTTCTATTCTTGCTCTTGGCCATGTAGTAAATAGTAAATTGAATAAGTGTAAAAAACGAGTGATGGATCTCAAGATCCAATCAAGAAAATAAGAATAAAAAGTGTATCTCACAATATGTTGTGTATTGAATAATCTTCCTATCTCTCTCTTAACAGAGGGTCTATTTATACTACCTCCGTCCCAATGTCTTTGTCCACTTTTGACTTTTGGAACTGTTCATCTAAGCACTTTGACTCATCAAATTCTCTCAATGTGTAAGCCTAAAAATAGTCATGTGTGATCTTGTTTGATTCGTCTTAACATATAGATTATTAATATATAATTTCTATAATTTTTTAATATACAAATTACAAGATAAAATGGATTAAAGAAGTACATTAGATGATGTGCCAAAAGGTAAGTGGACAAAGACAATGGGACGGAGGGAGTACATATCATGAGAAAACAAATTAGGTATCGGAGTCCCAAAAAGAATCGGATCTCACCCCCTAATCTTGCGCCTTAAATCTTAAATCTTGAAATCCAGTGACCTATCTCCTATTACAATCTAATCTCCTTAAATCTTGAATATCCTCATGGGCCTAAGCCCTTCCCACACTCGGCCCACTTGTTCCCCTTCCGCGCCTTGCTGCAGTTCCGGGCCCTCTGGGTATGGGCCGAATAAAAGGTGAATAGTCTTCTAGCAGCATAAAAGGTGAATAGTCTTTCTATAATTAGAAAAGAGGCTCCCTCCCAAAAAGATTGCAACACTTCATTATTCAAAAATCACGAGAACTTTTATTTATTTTTATATTTTCATTAATTATTTGTAAAATAAAATATTCTTATCAATATTCAAAAATCACGAAAACTTTTAACGTATTTTTATTTATATATCAATCCTTACATGAAATAAATTGAAAAAACTTAAAAATTTGCTTCGTTCAGTACAATGTTGTAATCGTTTTAGAACGGAGGGAGTATAAAGAAAACAAGAAAAAAAAAGCAGAGCATATAGGAGGGGAGTAGGTATGAAGTACATTTGACTGTATTTATAAAGATAAAGGTGATTGTGTAAATTTACTCACAAAAATAGGCGTAGTGTATTGCCATCCATCATATCTATCTATGAGGAATTTCTAACCATATAGAACCACCAGTCTTTGTGAAATAAGATGGGTCAAATCTCTGAAAAACTCTACGACTAAAAATTGCTTCCTGAATAAGTATATAATCCAGAGTAATATATATGTATATATATATATATATACACAATACAATGTCATGCTCTGCAGATTGTGCAGAGACAACGTGAGGGTGGTAAGCCAATAGCCCTAAAAATTTCCTCCTCCCAAAGGCTGGCTGCTAAGTAAATAATAAACAAACTATATGGTAAATCAGGCAAAACGAAGTTAGAAGAATGATTCTGCCTGTCCTCCCCGGTAACACTCCAAACACTATACTCTCCTTCCCCTTTCCTTTCCTTTCTCACAAACTGTGGCCCCGTGTCAAATTATCTCTTCATCACCATTTGGTGGACAATAGTATTCCCTACTAATCAGACGGTGAGTGAACGTGGCTCTCTCTTTCTCTCTCTATAAATATATATATATCATCAAGAAGAACGTCTCGAGCAAAGATTTGGGCTCGGGAACATGGATTGGTGTCCTCTTAAGGAGATGATTTCCAATCAAACTGAAGACTGTTGAAACCATTGACAGATCCAAGACCATTGAGCAGTTGACTTCCCGGGAAATCTTGTTGCTGATGTTGGTTCGTATTCTGGTCTCTTCCCATGGAAGCCCCCATGCCTACCCTTCCATTATTCACAGATCCACTTCGAAACCCGCCATGGCTGTTGATCCCGTTTCCTATGTTTCGGAATCCAACGCCTGCAGCATTCCCATTCATTCCCACAAGGCAATTGCTGCCATTAAGGACAGGGTTACTGTTTGTTCCCAACACCCTATTCATAGTCTTCGTGTCACCCCCCGCAAGCTGGGAGGACATCAGCATCTCATTTATGATTTTCTGCACGGAGCTCTGTGACTCGTTAGCCCCCACCATGATATCACCTGGGGAACTTGCAGAATTAATATGTGATCCCGGTGATGGTAAGAGATTATGTGAAGTTTGTGGTGGAGGGTTATTATTAGATGAAGATGGGGGGTGGTTCAAAGGCTGGAACGGAGAAGGGTTAGAGTTACTAGGCGAAGGCATTTGAAGTGCTGCAGATCCGGTGTAGGGACTGGTGGTTACACCACCACCACCACCACTACCATTCAATGTGGGGGGTTGATTTTTCCCCCTAGGGTTCATGGAGGAGTTTTGGTTCAGCAGTCGTCCGGCAACATTACTACTAGAAGTAGTAGTGGGTACTGAGCTCAAAGGGCCGTTTAAATTTCCAGATGCATGTTGAACCTGAGTAGCTTGAACAAAAGTATCATCATGGTTGGAGGTGTTCTGACCCATATTCTGTTGTTGTGGCTGCTGATCCTCCTCATTGTGCTGCTGAGATTGATTGTGAGTAGCAGGTGAAAAGTTCGTCCTTCGAGGAAACTTGGACAAGCTCTCTGTGGAAACACAAAGACAAATATGATATACTCTCTCCCATCCAAAACCAAAGTCATAAACACTATTTACTGATCAATGTTTTTCTTTACTTTTTTTGGTTAATCAAATAACATAATCTATGCCACATCTTGTTTTATAGAGCATTTGATGTAGTTTTTAAATACATAAATTTTATTTTAAAATTTCATACCATCATCTAAATAAATTGAATTGAAAATGAATTCAGTCAAACATCGTAATTCGTTTTGGGACTTCAGTTATGGGACAGAGGGCGTGTGTGTGTGTGCGCGCGCGCTTATGGTTCAAAAGGCTGATACATGATGATATTTTTTAGTACTGCATAATAGAATCCCTCAAAAAAGAAATCAAAGTGTGTACTCTCACTGACACAATGTTAATCTGTTTGGCAAGGAAGAAACAGAAGGGAGCTGAAGGTAGGGAGAGGAAAAATGGAAGAAATGTAGTATTTGCTTCGTGTTGGGTACACTAGAGAAATAGCAAGGAAATATATAAAAATGTGGGTTCCAGAATTTGTCTTTCTTCACACGGGTTGCAAAGAAACTGGAGGAGAAGGCTTCCTTTTTTAGTTTTTTCTTTTCTATCATTGCTTATTATTCGAGGAAAGCATCAACAGTGTGGTTTTTTGAACATGTAATAACAAATACTTCTTCACCCTCCATTTATTTTCTTCTGTAGTACCAAACATGACAACAAATATGTCCTATAATTCACAGAAAGCATGAACAATGTGTGTTTTTATAAATTTAAGAACAATACTACTACTTCTCATTCTATTTTTCTCCTCTTAATCTTTAGAACCAAACATGAAGGCAATCCACTCTTTTCACTAACTTGAATATTCCCATTAATTTAACAACTTTTTCTAATTTTTTCCTTACAGTTTGTCCTCTCCTGCAAAACACCCAAAAAGAGTTAACAAACAGTGTCACATATGATGTCTTCGCATAGTCATACTTGTGACATAAGCACAAATGAACGGATAATAGTATACAGCTATCAAATAATCACAAGCCAAACTCTAATTGTAGTTTCAGAATTTTCCTAGCAAACTGGAGGAACTCTAGTTAGAAAGACAGAAGTGTAGCAATGGTTTGTGAAATATACTAGTACTACTACTAGTAATAATAATAGTAATAATAATAACAATAATAATAAATTAATAATAATATGAAGTAAAATTTTTAGTCAACCCAGTCTTTGTATTATAGTTCTTTTATACTCTATTTATTCTCCAGAAATTTCTCTTTAGTTTGGAACTCTCAGTTCAGCGGGCATCCATCCAGTAGGGTGCCTCTGCATCTTTCAGTACATCTACTAGTTACTCATCTCCATCATAGTATGAGAGGTATGGTTTTACTTTTCTTCCCCTAGCTAATTCTGTCATAGGAGCTATGTGCCCTATCTTCGTGATTTCGTTTACTTTCTTCTCCAATTCATAGTCATAAGATCTTTATTCCTCTTTGATCTATCCTCTTCATCAAGTTCTACAGAAAATGTATTTCCCCTTCCATCTTCAAAAATCAACACCCAATGATCAAAAAAGATAAACGGAATGATTTCCTCTATCTTACAATAGATATGTCGATATCCAACAAGTAACTCTTTTGCATGCTTCTCCTTTCCATGCAGCTCAAACTTGTGGGGAGATATTAGTATTATTATTATTATTATTATTATTATTATTATTATTATTATTATTATTATTATTATTACTATTACTATTATTATTACTACTACTACTACTACACCTACTACAATCATTATTTTTATATATTCAGTTAACATAGTATTTGTATTATAGTTTGTTTCTGTTATTTAGTAGGTCCTGTTAGTTGGTTGTTTCCTGAGTCTATAAGGACCTATTCCTATTTAAAACTTCTAATAGTGTCCTTTTTATTTGACTAATACTATTATCCTATCAAAGAATGCAAAACCACATCTATGTACCAAAAAAGAAACTATGTCCCCACTGATATCTAATTTCCAACATTTAGGTGCAATACTCTGGAACAACATGATATAAACTAGTAAAGCAAAGCAAACAAAACTTACCCATAGGTCCTGTCCCCATTTCTCTGCTATAGTCAATCAAATCTTTCATGCTATTAACAACTTCCGATATCTATCAAGCACCAACGAAGTCATACATTTACCAATTCCGATGGCATGAATAAAATGGAAGGGAATACAACAACAACAACAACAACAACCCAGTTGGATCCCACTACAGTAGGGTCTGGGGAGGGTGTGTGTACACAGACCTTGCCCCTACTTGGAAGCAGGGAGGCTGTTTCCAAGAGACCCCCGGCTCAACCTGCACTATAAAATGGAAGGGAATATGAAGCTTATTGGTTATTGCATTCAAAATGGTGTGGAGTATGCATAAAAAGCACATGCATCATAACACATAAAGTAACATCCAAGGACAATGAATCAGACAAAAAATTAATGTGTATGCCAAATCTCCGACTTATTCAATAGTCATACAGCTACTACCAAGTTCCTGCATTTGGGGGAATCTTTATACTATGACTTTACTGTTGCACAGAAATATTTCTAAGGTGAAAATTGAGTTAGACGGCAATAACTATTTAGTTTGGATGCCTCTCTTATTACCAGGTTCACGTGTTTTAGTGAACCTTATGCCTAAGTGTTTACTGTTTGAGAAAAAGACAAATACATCAGTAATCCTGATAAACATTTATTAAGAGGAAACAAATATTACATCCCAAGGTAATGTATAATTATAAACAAAATGATACAAATAGGTGACTTTTTCTCTCCTCTTTTTTTGGCGGGAGTGGGGGCTGAAAGCAATATAGCAACAAAAGTAGAGTAAGGAGCAAACCTGAAGGCAACGCACGTATCTCTTTGTATATCCCAAATCATTAACCAATGGAACTTCCAAAGCTTTTGCAAATTGACGAGCTGAGGCAACGAACCTACAAGTAATTCAAAGTTACTAGTTATGCACACACGTTGCAAAGCAAAGTATGCATGATATAACAACCCATTATAAATCATAATACCAACTGCATAAGGATAGAGGAGATCAAGATATACCCAGTCTTACCCCTGTTCTACCCCTGTAAAAACAGAGAGACCGTCTAGTTAGACCCTAGATTAGGCATGGAAATGGGCCGGTTTTGGTCTGGTTCAGGAAAGCATTCTGCCAGTGGATTCTGGGTTCTAACTGGTTCAAGCTAAAAAAAAATCTGGCTTTTTTCTGACTGGTTCCAAGCATCCAAGTCTCCATTCCCCCAACAACAGTCAAAAGGCAAAAATAGTAATAGTAGTAGTTGTAATAAAAATAATAATCCAAAATAATAATAATTATACAGAGTAATAATAATTAGAACAGAGACTTGAACTGCCGGTTTTGGTATCCAAAATTTAAAACCAGACGCCCCCCCCCCCCTGCTGGTACAGTTTTGGAACTGCCGGTTCATGTACTGAACCAGGACCACAGCCACCCCTACCCTAGATGTATAGGTGCATTTACTGCCCAGACACTTCACAGAAAGTAAAACATAAAGCAAGTTTAATGTTCCATTTTGATAAGTCCATTACGTGCTCGAATTGAAAACGTTGTCAATGATGGCTCTTTTAGTTACATTGATAATGGACTGAAAGTATGCATGATAAACACATAAAGTTAATGAAATATCAAAAGATAAAACATATGCATTCACGTAGAAGAAACTTATGTGGACATTCACTCTAAAGCTTTGTACAATGCCACAAGATTCGCTATTATAGAAAAGTTTAATCATAGTATGATAAAAAGTAATGTACCAGTAACTCTGTGGCTAAAGAAGGTAGAAGCTATGATTGGATAACTCAAATGTAAACAAATCATTTTGACTTTTCAAAACAGCTCAACTTAAATGTGAACAACGCTTCAAGATGCAAACATTTATTAGAGCATTAGTTAGAAATATGGGGCTCACATATTGCAGTTATTTTGTAAGTCGGGAACAGAGATGTTAGATGATGCATTTTGAGTTGTAGCAGTTTGATACTTTTGTGCTGCAGCTCCTAGATGACTTACCTGTTCACAAAAATCATAAAATAAAAATACATGAGTATACAAATCAGCACAGTATGCTCTGTATGACAACTAGCAAACTTGCTCCATATGGAAATGAATTAAACTCTTACTGCAAAATTTATGATCTTAAAATTTAGAAAATGAGCAACATCTGAATACAGGATTCTACTTGCAAAATGCAATCCTTTTTACCATGGTAATAGTGCAGAACAAGAGTCAAAACATGCAATCGAAAACTAAAGAAGTATCTGATATAGTTTAGAAGCTATGGTTAAGTACTAGACATCATTTCATGGTTAGATAGAAATATAAGTAAAGGTGAGAAGAGATAGAAGCCTTATCCAATAGCAGGAACGTGTACAACAACCCTGACATACCACGAAAGTAGGGTCAAGGGAGGGTCTGTGTACGCAGACTTTAACCCTACTCAAAAGTAGAGACTAGAGAGGCTGTTTTCAAGAGTCAACACAAAAAGCATAGAACACGACAAGGAAGCAAAGAACAAACTAAGGGTAAAGAAAAGCGCAAGAAAGAAAAAAAAAAGAGCAGTATTCAAAAACCAGGGCAGAAAACTGAGAAACAGAAAAGCAATCTATGCACAACAGTAGTACAAATGAAAGGACATTATGAACCTGAGGTATCAACAATCTTCTAGGTATAAGCTCTTCATGACGTCGGGCACAAAATTCCCAAGAGACTATCTGCAAATTCATGAATAAAAGAATAGAATTTGTCATGTAATGTGGGTTGCTTCGTTTTAAGAAGGTGGCCAGATTGGAGGAAGTAAGAAATACGTGGATGTCAAGGCATAGACAACTGTGAAAAATGATTAAGGTAATATTATGAACATGAATGACCTTTAAGTCCGGTGAGAATACAATTCGAAGCTGGCCATCACGGACAACGCGAAGTTGTTCAAAGACACTCTCTTGAATTGCTTTGGCATAGTCTAGGACAATTTGGCCTGAAGAGTTCTGATACTCACAGGGCATATCGACATAGAGTAGCTCCTCCAATGTGCCACTTTCATACTTTATCTTAAAAAGTCTAGGCAGGACCTCAACAGTTGCCTCTGTTGGAACAATGAGCCAAGTTTCAGATAACCTAACAGGAACTTAAGAGTGGCATCTACAATTCTACTACTAGTATAAACCAGAGTCCAGAAATACTTCCAAAAAACATGTAATATGACAATCAAAGGTTATGTGCGAGATCATGTCGGGGAAACATACCAAATCCACGCCCAGGCTTACGGTTGCAAATTTCGCAATGCCACACATCCTGCAGTATTTTGAAAAATAACCACATTTATGAAGTTAAACAATCAATACAACACCTACAAAATAATAATTATCAAGTACTTTTCTCCTCCATAATTGCATGCATCATTGTCTAAAATACAGAACAATCAAGAAAGCATTATCAAATATCAGAGCATTGCCAATCCTATTCCTAACAAAAGTTGAACATATAATTATGCGACAAGAAACCTGAGGGAAAACTCCAGTTGTCTGGCGGCCACTTCCATACATTGAGACACACCATTTTTTCTTAGCATTTGGCGCAAAATACTCTGCTACAAATTTTCTCCAAAAATCCATGCTGTTATCCTGAAAAACAAAACAACAATTCTAAGCTTTTTTCTTTAATAAGCATCAAGAACACTGAATCTGCTAAAAAACTAAAAATCCTGATTCAAAAAAATAAAAACAAGCATGAATAGAAGAGAAGTTGTAAAATAACGTACAATTTGGGCAAAAATTCCTTGGCTATGAGAAAAGAAAGTCATTTTGAGAGCATATCTCAAGAAATAATAGTGTTTCATTGTTAAAGGGAGATGCAAAAAAATTTTGAGGTAATACCTCAGGCCTGTGCTGTTGCTGATACATGTAATTAGTTAGCCGACGTGCACACATCCCAGGCTCATAATATGGTTTTGTTGGAGACCTTCCAGCCGGATTTTGCGCATGAAATTGTGGCTGTTGTGGGGTTCTTTGTTGAGGCATAGACTTCATGAGCTGCTGCTGCTGTTGTTGTTGGAACTGCATGAGTCTCTGCTGATGCAAAAGCTGGGCCATCGCAGCAGCTTGAGGGGACTGCCTAGACATCTGAAGAAGCTGTTGTTGTGGATGTTGTTGCTCCTGCTGCTGTATAAACAATGATGGGTCAGAATGTTGAGGTTCCATTTTAACAGCCGTAATACTTCTCATATTCTGTAGCTGCTGCTGCTCCAATTTTACTGTGGCTAGATTTCGCAACTGCTGGGGTGTTTGATCATTGATGACCTCCGGCTCCACTTTAACAGGTGCAATACTTCCTTGCGCACTTCGCATTGGTTGAAATTGCTGTTGCTGCTGTGATTGAGAACTGTCCGGGGTAGAATACTGTGGCAGCTGTTGATTGTGCTGAAAGTTAATGGGATTGAGCTGCTGTGGTTGTTGATCTGTCATTACTTGATCCCCAGCAGTATGAGGAAACTGCTGCACTTGTACTTGAGATGCCATATTAGAATTTGTAGGTGTTGCCACTGAAACAAATGATGATGAAGGAGATGCATTATAACCCATTCCATTTCCAACGCCGGACAGTGGATCTGGTTCAGCCCCATTATCAATGAGACCCCTCTGAGTAGATCCAGGTCCAGATAGCCCAGAAGTAGGGCCACCGTTTCCGAAAGATTGATGCAGGATAGATGCAACATTGGGAGCATTACCAAACATATTCATGTTTCCAAATTGTGTTCGTGGTGACCCCAAAGGAGAAAACCCACCCTGTGATGGCAATGAACCTCCTTGACCGCCCAATAGACTAGAATTTGATCGAAACAGTGAAGTCGGAACAGACTGGGCACCACCGAGTGGTGTAGAACCCCCTCGTGGCACCATGTTCTGGCTGTGAACACAATGCACGCTAATCAATTAAAGAATCTTCTTAAAATGGCAGGAATCCGACAGCTGCTGGCTTCAATGTACAAATAGTGGTAAAAGAGATCATGCGTGTCAATGTGTCAAGTACTTTACATTAGGAACTGAAGCTGAACATTACAAAGCCTATATATTGAGGAGGGAAAAAAAGGAAATTGTATAACTTGTGCCCATAACAGTGTGTGATACAAGTAGGAAATAGAAAAAACATTAAAAAGTACTACGTGCTATAAATAAAAGCATCATGCTTAGATCCTAGCCATGCTATGCTAAACAGCCTTAACTATGTTTAGTTGTGATACAGAATATGAGCTTTCAAGTTTCAACCACCTCAGCATTAGTGTTACTCGTAACAATTTTTAGTTCTTATACCAAATTTTATTCCAAATATTAATATCCTTCTGTTGCAATTAAACCCAGAAAACAAACCCCAAAACCAGAAAAGATACATAGTAATTTTTTAGCCACTAAGTCCCAAGGCAGAAATAGGGAGAGAGAGAGAGAGAGAGAGAGAGAGAGAGGTCTTTGGCAATAAATTCAATGAGAAAGGTCAAACTGCCAGCCCATAATTGTAAATCTACAATGACCCTGATCCAAAACTCTACTAAACAAAATAAAAACTCTAGGGTTTACATCTTAAATGCTGGCCTAAAATTCAGATTAAAAAACTAAAACTAGAACTCCACACACAGATAAAACAAGGAACAGATACATACATCTCTATGCATACCAATAAAGGCTTACCAAAAGCAGATTTCAACACGAGGCAGACGAAGCTTCGCCTGATTGATCACAATTCAACACGGCGCTGCAGTTCCTCTCACTTGGCATTTGTAGCACAATCAGACACACACACGAAAACGCACACAAATATGAATATCTACTGAGATAAATGCCCGTTCTTCGTCCACCCTGCGGATTGAATGCATCTTAACATGCACAATTTGAAATGCGAGCTGTACTGCAGTTGAGTGCAGAGCTCCAGAGTCTTCTTTCGTCTGTTAATTTGGAGACTGTGATGGAGAGGGAAGAAGGAGAGAGCTCTGGTGAGCTGTAAAATTTAGAGAGAGAAAATCGTGTGGAGTGAGAGAGAGTGTGTGGGAGGGGGTTCTTGGGGCGGACGTCAAATTTGTATTCTATCAGATTGAATAATTCGCTTCATTCCCTTCTTTCCCTTTTCGGTCTATCTATGGTACTATCATCATATGAATAATCAATCCTCTCTCTCTCTCTTCTCTCTCTCTAGGGCCTCACTCAAAATCTCAAAGGAGGTCAAATGGTCGTAGTGCCCGTTCGGGATTTTTGATTTTATGTACGCTCCAGCTACTAGATTTTTTTTTTTTCAATTTTGACTTTGTGGGTGGAACTTTGTTTACTTATCTAAAAATGATTGAGTGTGTCAAATTAATATTCAAAAAAGAAAATTTTTAAAAGACTTTCAACAAAATTATTTAAAAAAACATATAATATTAATTAAATTTTATAAACAAATTTAAAGTCTCTCTAATCGAATGACATAATTATGAATCTCTCTAATAAGATGTCACAAATTTAGATTTTTTTAACATCTCGAGGAATTGAATATATATATATATATACACACACACACGCACACACACACACCACACACCCGGGGGCGCTTCAATGTCTCGTTCGTAAAATTGACGGTTCTTACCCCTAACCCCTTCCGGTAAACCCCCCCACCCCGCCCTGACCCAAACACACCCATCACCCCCTTCAATTGCATCCCACAAGTTGATTTTGACTTTGGAGTCCAAATTGTGTGTGGTCAAAATCAACTTGTTGGGTGCAATTGAAGGGGGTGTGTTCGGGTCAGGGCAGGGTGGGGGGTTTACCGGGAGAGTTAGGGGGTAGAAACCGTCAATTTTACGAACGGGACACCGGAACGCCCTTGAGTCATCACATGACATTGCCGGGTAATGTCATGGGAACCTTGGTGTGTGTGTGGGTGGGTATATATATATAAGCTTAGACCAAGAGAATGAAATGACGGTTTCTACCCACTTACACGAAGACGCTTACACACACGAGACGCTTACAAGCTTATATATATATCCAGTAGAGAGCGAGACGCTTACAAGAGAATATATGTGTAACGAATATATGATGATTGTAAGCCACAAGAGAATATATGTGCAGCCACACACACGAAACGCTTATAAGAGAATATATGTGTAGGGCATTAAATGATATGCGTGCAAATAAGCTTAGACCAAGAGAATTTGTGTAATATAGCGTCTCGACTCAGTCCAAACCTCGTCAGGCCCACACTTCAATCAGGTCTGGGTGAGCCTTTTCATCGGCCCATATGAAGCCTCAAGTGGCTGCCCAAAATTGGCCCAAGTTCTAAAATAAATTTCACTAGCACTTCACTTATGTTTTCATTCCCATATCTTCCCTATTTTTGTTTATCTTGGTTCTCATGATATAGAGATTCAATGTTATAGAGTAATCCGAAGTCTGTATGGTACTCCATTCAAAAAATTGATAGTTCTTACTCCGTCACGGCCCCCTTGTGAACTCTCTCACCCTCATCAATTGCACCCCACAAGATTTAGTTGACTTTGGAGTCAAATTTTAAATCCAAAGTCAACTAAATCTTGTGAGATGTAATTGATGGAGGCGAAGATGAGAGGTTTGCCAAGGTGAAAATCATCAATTTTTTGAAAGTAACCATACCCTAATGGGATCCCACATGGGGGCTCATTTGTTTTGTTTAGTTTTTTGTCCCGCTTCCCCGCAAAGCCACCTATCTCTCATCAATTTATCTCTTCTCTCTTCTATAGACTACCTCTCCACCAATTTCCTCTCCCATTACCAAACACACCCTTAATGTCCCCACCATCCAATCAAGTCCTCCTCGGCACTACAGATCTCTTGGCAAATTTGGAAGACAAAAAGCACATAATAAATTAATTTGATAAAAAAACGTGCAAGTCAATCTAACAAGAGAATAAAGTTGATGAGATCAACACTCATGCACTGAAAATGTGACTCTTACAAAAAGACCAATCAACACTCACACAACACGCAATTGGTTCACAAAGATCAATCCATCAACATTCAACACAGAGAGAAGCATTTCCAAAATCACAACACATGCATACACATTCTTATTATAAGTCTATCTAAACCAGATCCCCTCCTCTTATTGACTGGTTTTGCCCCTTCTTCATCTTCATGTCTTCTTCTTCTTCTTCTTCTTGGAGTTTGCCAGTGATTTCCACTGCCTTTCCCGGTGATGCTGGTGTTTGGGTGGTTGACTTCTTCCGGTCGCAGTAAATGGCGTACAAGATCAGCTGCGCCGCTCCCAACCCACACCCGAATCCATTCGGAATCTGGTTTGATTTGGCAATTACAAAGTGAGAATTGAAATTCTTTAGTTCTTGAAAAGAAGAAATGGTTTGATTTCAAGTGTGTGTGTGTGTGTGTGTACTTACAGCAACAAAGGGGTCCTTCCCAAGCAGCCCAAAGATGAACCAAGAAGTGCCACACAAGAACACAAAGAGAGACAAGAAGAATGGCATGAACTCCACACTCTTGGTCTTGATCACCACCCTCTATACACACACAAATTAAAACTTAATCACCAATTAAGAACAATAACAAAAAAAAACAAACAGGGAACATACTTAACAAGAGTAAATTAATCAAGCACAAGTGCTAGCTGATGTGAGAGCTTACAATGATTGAGAGGGGAGAACCGTACATGGCAATGGAGAAGATGGTGGCAGCTACGCCACAGAAAAACTTCCTTACATTTCCATGTAAAGCAAGGATGGAAACCAGTGCAATTGCAGCAAACACAGAAAGGGCTAAAGCCGAAAGTGCCCCTATTTTCTTCTTCCCTTTCTTGGGTGCAAACACAAGGAAGACTATGACGTAGATGAACTCGATCACTGCCCCAGTCCCGTTGATTGTGCTAACCAGCAAGTTGTCCGGTGACACAAATGGCATCCCATACCTTTTGTTTATCATACACATAGATCCAATTCCAACACATTTTTAGTTTAAAAAAACGGGGAATAACAGAAAAAGATGTATTTTTTACAGATGAATAAGAGGAAGATTAAAGGAGGGATGGATTTGTTACCAAGCAGAAAGCAAACAGTTAAGCATGGTCATGACGTAGGGCAAGCCGGAGAACTGTTCTGTGGATTTCTTGGCCACGATCCTCTTGAATGTAATCCTACAAATATTATTCAAGAAAACGTTATAAAAACAGAGATAAGTCTGAACTTGTAAGATCAAGAAGAAGAAGGAGAGTTCTTGAAAGTTACAGTGGTGCCAGGAAGAGGAACAAAGCAGTCGCATTTCCTAATAAAGAACGAACAAGTCAACAAGAAATCATGAAAGGAAATCACCACTAATTAAATAATCAATACATAAAGAAATTTAACTACAAGCTAAGAAGGAAAGATTGAATCTTGATGATAACATTGAAACAAAGAAAGAAAGAAAGAAAGAAAGAGTGACCAAAGATTCCGGCGACGAAATGCAGAATGTGAACAAGGGCAGCCATGGCTGCAGCTGCAATGCGGTTAAACAGAAGAAGCAAAGCAAAGAATGAATCTAGAAGGAAACCCGGGGCCAGAATAAGATAGAAACGGCTCAAGAATGGATTAGATAAAGAGAAAATTTGGGGATTGGTTGGTTCATGGCTGGTGTTTTAGACATGAGAGTATATGGGAGAGAGTGCGTGCGTTTGTCTGCGTGTTTATATAGGGAAATGGGAGTGAAAGAAAAGAAGGTCACGGGGCAGGACCGGCCCGGTCTACCCACTCCTAATGCGTGAGCGAAATGTGGGGAGGGGGAGATTGTAATCCGATGGGTTCCAAACCCACGTGGCTGAACTTTATAGGAAGGCACTCTCCCTACTCTATTGGTCTTACTCGTCTTACTCTCTACTCTAGTAAGATAAGTGTAAAATAAGGGGTAAAACCATAAATTCATTTGATTGAAGGCCCTCAGACTAAAAAAAATTTGTGGTTTGACTTGACACAAAAACTAAGAAAAATTAATAAGAAATGTAGAGATTTCTCATATGTTGCTCTTGATATGAATAAATAAAGGGAATAATGTATAAAAAAAGTAGGGATATAATGACACATTAATTAAAAAATATTTGTCAAAATTGAAAATAAAAAAAATGAATAGTCTAAAAAGAAAAGTGTGAAAGAAATTAATGAACGAATAGAGTATGTTTTAAATTTAGATGGTCATCATTCATCAAGAATAAAAAGTCTAAAATATGTGAAAATTTTTTATTGGATGAATAAATAATTCAAATACTCCCTCTGTCCACCATAGATCTTCTCAGACACTATTCACACGTTCAAACTTTATTCACTTTGTTTGTTTATTTTTACTACTCATTTCATAAAATAATATAGTGTTGTCACCTCTAGTTTTGTAGAACTTTTTATGTAGTTTATTACTACATAGATTTTATATTAAAATTTTATTCCTATATTCAAATAAATTGAATTGAAAATAAAGTGGATCAAGTCTCGTAACGTGCAATGGGAAGATAAGATCTTAGGTGGACGGAGGGAGTATTATCAACAATTTAGTTCCAATAATTAGTTTCGGGAGAAGGAATATTAGTTTTGTCGTACACCAACGTGGATAACAAGGATTAGCTTATATAAAACTGGTGCACTTATGTTAAATTTTGTATACGCACATACCATCAATTTTAATTTTACAATATATTTATATTTTAAATCGACCATTTATGGAGATTTGTAAGAAAAAATGTAACCATGAGAGATCTTGTTATTTACTTCTTTTGTCCAAATTTAATTTTTCATTTGAATTATCTTGATTAAAGTTTGTAAATTTTGAAATTGATTTGTGAAAAAAATACATTATATTCAATATAAATTTAATATTAATGGTTTTCTTTTGAAATTAAACGTAGCTTTGGAATACAAATTAAAGTCTCAAATTTTATAAAATATATTTATGTATAAATATAAATATTAATGATCAAAGTATTAAATTGAAATTCATGAAAATCAAATCGATCAAAATATTAAGAGCCTATTAAATTTGTTTTCATTGAGTTTCATATCATCATTTTTTGTTAGAGC